TCTCTCTCTCTCTCTCTCTCTCTCTCTCTCTGGGGGCAGAAATGGGCCCAGCTTGCGTGCAACCGAACCCATCTAATCGATTTGTCATTGGGTTATCTAAATGAAAAGGGACATTCCAGGTTATCTAAACAAACCAACTCATTCCGGAGGGGGAACAACAGAGACTGTTATCCTGCACACTATTTTGACAGCGTTTTTATCGTTCTAGAGACACGATCAGCCTACAGATAACGTGCATACCAGTGTCTGTTTGATTCACATTTTCTTCTGTGTGAGAATAAACAGGGAGATTCAAAACAGGACTGTCTGGACATGCCTAATTCCACATTGGCTCAAAGACACCTCACAGTAGCCTGGTGAGCCTGAGAGATTGCATTTCATTTTCACAGGACTTATCTACCGTTATCGATCCAAAGCCTCTGCCTACGCGTGCCACTACAGACTGAATCCTCCCTACTGCACGAACGCACACAGTTTCACGGATTAGGAGTAGTCATGTCGGCTAACTTCATCTGCTCCATTCCGCCGGTCGAAACGGTTACCGCGATGAGGCATCCGCCTAGAGAATAGCGTTGTGAAGTCGCAGATGAAATTTGAATGCTGTGGGACGAAAGAGCGGGCTAGTCGACTTGTTCATTAAAACACTCGGTACAGTTGTTAATCCAGCAAGGCAGAGCCTGTAGAAGGACGTCCTGACCTTGTTGTTTTAATGTGCCCTTGCCGTGCTTTTCCTGCACCGTTTGACTGATTTGTGATTCGAACGTACCTTTTTTGTGACCGCCGTGGAAGAGTGTGAGGGGGCCAGTCGAGGGACCGCCCGTAAGGAGGAAGACGACAAGAAGACGGAATAGGACTAATTACCCTGACTGGTGTATTTCCTCTTATAAACTTTTCCATCGTCAACCTATTTTGTCCGCGTACGCTTGCACTTGCGGATGATGAACTCGGTTCGCGCTAATTTTCAGGATTCCATCCGAGGAGACGCTCGATCAGGCAGAAGTATCAAGGAAACCTATACGGACTGTCATCTAGAAGAAGAAGAAGAAGAAGAAGAAGACAAGATCATACCCTTGGGTGGCTCGAGTACTACTAACCTACTACATTAACACGTCATACACACATGAAAGGAGACCGGGCTATGTCTAGCTGACATCTTCCAGTGACGTGGGGTGGGAGTGCACCAGCACCAGACCGAGATTCAAGGACACCCTACAAGCTTGTATGTTTGCCTTCAGTGGGATCCTCCTACCCTCTGTACGTGTATTTCAAAGTCCACTAAAGTATACAATTATTCTTCCATTGTGTGTACATTAGTGAGTAAGCATGTCCTCACCCCGCCATGATGGCTTCACCGAGTAAAATGTGGGGTTGGTTGAAGCGAGCAGATGGCGGTGCTGGCGACAAGGTAGCCCCAAATCGTCCGAATGATTAATCGTTGACTGATTGAGACCAGTAAGCAAGACATTGAACATTGCACCATCTCTTATCTTTGCTGAAAACACTTCTCCAGGATGAACCACTAGTTGCTACGTGAGAGCCTAGATAACATCTGTACCCAAAGCACCAATGTAAAGCAGGAATTCCTATTTTCATCCTGCAATTGTGGACCTTGTTGCTGTTGTTATTGGAGATTTTTGAGTACACGAGAGTTCAGCGTCTCAGAGAACATGCGGCGGTGCGAGGTACCGGACAGTAGGCGTACATGTACGTACAGTAGGTACGGTATCTTGGTGTGCGGTCTTTATAGTACAGTTCTGTATATGTTCACTTATGCCTGTAATATTTTGAAGGGTAAGTTAGACTATAACATCAATTTTTAAATGAACCTGAAGTGTTTTGAGGACATAACGGACATGTTGGAACTCATAAAATGTTGGCCGAAATTCTGAACTGTTTTTTCCACTCGAAAAGACTATTTACGTAGGGCTGTAATATTAATCACCGTGAAGCATAATCCCATTATAATTCAGTTACTCCAGGATGCCGGCTCTTAAAGGAACTTCTTTCCGGCTGCCTGTAAAAAATATACTCTGTAAAAAAATGACCGCTTAAATAGCATGAAATTTTCTCATTGATTTCCGAAGCCTTTATAAATTCAGATATATCTAATGAAAAACATGCATGAAGATATTCATTTGTTTACTCGTTCGAAGAATGAGTACTCGAAGAAGGGGTATAATTCAATTTAAAAAACTTCCAATTTTCAAATCATTTTGAATCTGACCTGCCGTTACACTTGCATCCAGTGTTTCCAAACTACAAGCTGTATATTTCCCGTGTACGGTAAACCATGCATTCCTCTACGGTGTTAAGAGGAGACTACATGAGGTTCATAAAATTTGGCAGTGGATTTGAGCCTTATTGTAAACTTTACAGGCAGCATTAGTAAATGCAGAGACACGATTTTCTCTGTGCGGGCATTTCACAGTCTTAAAAAAATCTCATAATTAGAAACTGTTTTAGAACCGAATCATAGCCCTCCTTTGAGTCTAAAGTTTGAATAAGACATAGCTTTCTACCAAATGAGTAAAAGAAAGAATATTTCTACGCATTTTTCCATTATATATACATATATCTGAATTTATAAAGGCATTGAAAATCAATGAGAAAAATTCATGCTACCTATGTAGTCATTTTCACAGAGTGTAGTTTGTTGCAGGCGTCCGGAAAGAATTTCCGCCAAGGGCCGGCATCCTGAAGTAACTGAATTATAGTGGGATTACGCTATATGGTGATTAATATTACAACCCTACAACTGCGTAGGGTTTGGT